AGAGAGAGAGAGAGAGATTAAGCGTAAATCCGACAGAAAAATTCGAGTCTGCATTACAAACTCGTGACACATCGTACTCTGTTTCTCTCTCTCTCTCTCTCTCTCTCTCTTTCTCTCTCCTAAAGAAAAAGAAAAAAGAAGAAAAGAAGTGGAAACGCGCGAACATCCTTTTAGCACAGTTGTGATTCCTGGAGCGTTCAGCCACTCTTCGTTATTTATTTCTTTCCGTTCCCCGGCCTCGTTGCCCTCCGCGTTTCGCCTTTGTGGTAAATTATTGTCGTCCTTCTGCCTCTTCCTGCTTCCGCTTTCCAACGCCACGACGACGATACCACGTCGTCGTCGAGTGCTACGTACTACGTAGCTGAAAACGTGACAACCCGACCGGGAGGGAGACGTGCCCCCTCTGCGGAAGGCTGTAGATTCAAATTTCTCGGGGAGGATTTTTATCCTACCACATGGCGATATATTGCTTAGAACGGCAACGGAATCAAATTTTATGGGATTCTGGCGAGGTTAATTGGGTCCTTGGGAGGAACGAGAAGGATATTTCGTTCGTGACACGGTTCGGAATTATTGTTTGCTAAATTGGAACGATTTAATGTAAAACACAGTGGGTACAGGACGTTAGACGTACAATATTTTCAATATATTCGATTGTGCTGCTTTTGACGTTCGTATATTATTTTTATTTTATTTTTCATTTTAATTTCCTGGAAGATTTAACCTTTTCTGTTTTTGAACATTTAACGAAGAAATTTCTGCGTCATTAAATCTTTAAATTTCATTTTTATTGTTTTAAATTTTTTTATATTTTTACATCACATAGGCTTTTAGCAAAAATTGTATCTTCGAAATTTCTACATTATTGATTTTTTAAATTGTATTTCTTTTGAAGTATTGTTAAAAGATATTACTAAATCCTTTATATTTAAAATAAGACTGTATTCCTAAATCTTTTATGTTTAAAATAAGATTGTATTCCTGCAGGTCGTGAATTAGTTAAATTCCAATTTTTACATTATTAAATATAAAAGTTGTTGTATTGTTAAATTAATTTTTAATCTGCTCCATAACTCTACATTTAGTACGCTGTTCAATTTTCTTATTATTAAAATTCTATATAGTTCTAGAATTTCATGGAACATAAATTTTCGACGTTATACTAAAATCGTATTCTAGTTTATAGTTAAACTAGTTAATAATTACACAAAAATTCTATTAAAATTCTTATTTTTCAATATTTTTTAGAACACTTTTCTTGCACCTTTTTTTTGAAAATTGGACCAACGTTGAACCGATTTGTAAATTACGGAAAATAGAATCTAAAGCTATCCTCTCAGAATCGTTCTCATTTATAAACATGCGACATCATTCCACTTCTAAGGGTTTTTGCTTGAATTTTTTATTTTTCGACGAATCTTCAGCAGGTACATTTTAGCATTAGCATGAAGCAGTATGACAAGTGGTTGTTGGGTGTCTTACCCGCTGCTCGGAATATTTGCTCCCGGAATACTTTCTCGTATTGCAAAAATGAGATTTACGAGTGTAACGGGACGATACTTTAGCAGATACACGTATCGTGCAGTCGGACACTAAATAATACTGATTAATGCCACGTTTTCGTTTCGCGTTCTATTCGATGCTGAGCTTGAACGCAGAATTGTGGAAAAATTATTAAATAAAACTAAAATCAAACACCGACGCAAATATTGATATTGTGGCTGTAGTAAAATTTCTAATATTATGGAACACTATTACTATTTCAGTTATTATAGACACGATTTATTATTGTGGAAATAATCAAAAATTGGCGCGGTGCAAGGAAAGTTGAAAAACAAAATTGGAACCAAAAAATTGTTCGATTTCCTTCGGAAATTTTGGTTTCTCTTTTAATATTAATATTTATAAAAATTATTAATATGAAATATATAAATCTCTTTTCCCGTGAAAGCATGGAATGTGAAATCTTGTCGTGTGGAATCATGAGCATTTAAAACGTGAAATTTAAAGATATATAAATTATCTAAAATTCAGCGAAAGCGAATAAATTTCTGTGTAGTATACATTGAAATGGACAAATTTCAAAGCATCCCGCTATCAATGTCTCCTTTAATTTATTAAGACTCTTGTTTTTACAGAAAGTGAAGAGAATCGCAAATAATATTCGTCTGTCACAAAACGTCGCTAAAGGCAGTTTCGTAACTCAGAAACGAAAGTAAAGTGATGCAAAACTACTAAAAGAGGAAGCGAAACAATTTTCCTTTAACAAAGTCGAACAAGTAAAGTTGAAGTAAAAAAAATGTTAGACATTAAAAATTATAAGATCATCGGCCAAGAGGTTATATAAATTCCCCATTTGGGAAATTCCTCGAGGAATTACCTGCCGAGATTAGAGGAATCAGTAATTTACACGGGGATCGAAACCGATCTGTGTTTACCGGCCTTAAGCATCGACGTAACAATTTTTCTCGTCGAAGAGATTATCTCGGTCAAAGATCCCGGTGGAGATCGTTGCCACGCCGGCGGCGGAGTGCTCCTCTAATCGCGCGGATGTCAATAAACGGATAAATCTCGGCGAAGATTCACGTTATCCCCGCGAGTAGGAGTGGGTAGCTTTTAATCGTTAAAACGTCGATGAAACGAGCAAACCGCTTCGGAAATGGGCAAACAAGCCTGATGGTTGAGCTTTCACCGAACACCGGCAGAGACCGAATGCTCTTTTCGCGGATGGAACGCGGAGAAAAGTAAGCAATGTGATGGAGCAAATTAAAAAAAAAAAAAAAAAAAAAAAAAAAAAAAGAAAAAAGAAAGGAAAGAGAAAATGACGATTATAATATCGGAAAGAGTTCGCTAAGGATTATCGATAGATTCTCGATATACTGAGAATACCAACGACAGTTTTGTAGAATGCAACAGAATTTGCAAAGAAGAAAACTCAGCAGACGAGATTTCCGAGTTATCGTTACGAAAATATTGCAGAGACGCCCCTTGACAACTATGAAAATCTTGTTTATTGCTCTATGTATTTTGAATGATAGAAAAAATTATATTGCTCCTGGTTCATGCGACACTGCGTTGCGTTAGATAACACTTACTATGAATTTTGTTTTGACTACCATTGTGAATAATTGCTAAGGCATTACTTCTTTCATTAATAATTCTATTTAAAATTCTTTTTTTTTCTCGAAAAGCATATCTTTCCACTCTCCTCCAAAGCGCGATAGTTTTTGTTCAATAAATTTATTATTTATTCTCGGTTTGAAATTAAATTCAGAGTTGACGTAAATAGAAGAATTTCGTAAATCGGAATTTGGCAGTGCCGTATATATCGTATAACAGAATAAAACCATTTGGAACGTGATTTTGATGATTAATACCATTTAACAAAAGAAATTTCTCGTTCGCTGATTCTTTGATTTTCGGTCTTTGAGCTTAATATATACGATCAGTTTTTCGATTGTTCGATTTTTATAATATTGAAATGACACTCTGATGTTATCAGTGTTTATTGCTATAATTAATAGCGCCAGCACCTAAATCGTATTCGAGGTACACAATAAGCGAATCATGCTAAATAGCTACGTCCATCGAGATGGAAGATATTAGTTTCTCTTCGTGACTCGACGCATAGTTCGGCCGGTGGTTATGGTTTTTGATCGAGCTTGGCTATTTCCTGCGCGAAAATGGGAATTTAATGAACAGACTTGGTGAACGCAAGAAAAATGAAGCAAGAACCAGAGGCGAGGTTCAGGGAGAAACTTGCGCGCCCCTTGTCGCTCGTTTTTCAATCTGGTCAGCCGAATGTTTGCCTTTTCCGGCGCGTGTTTAAAAAGAAACGAGGCTCGTGGCTGCGAAGGTTGGTTGTCACAATTCGGACGAAGGATCGGCATGCAGTTTGAATATGGAAATTCATGAAACAAAGCGGGGAGAAAAAAATTACTCGATTTAGTGGAATATTTTTTTTATCACTAATATTTTGCAATAGCCTTTTAGAGAATTGTAAAATGTCTCTGAGCCATAGGTATGTAAGAATTCTTTGAAATTTGGAATTCATGAAAATGTGTGTCAATATTAATTATCATTGAAAGGGTAAGAATGCTTCGATAAGGAAAAATACTTAAAATTTAAATAATAAAAATGCTTGAAATTTCATTGTAATTGTCTCTGAATATTCTGTCAGACACATGTTCCAAACATTAGTGTTTCATAAAAAAAAAAAAAGGAAAACAATCATGAAGAAACGAAGAAAGAATAAAAAGTATCTCGAAAAATAATAGAAACGGAAAGTACATGATTCGAGCCAAAAAATAATAAGCACGATAACAAATAAAATAAGAAATAATAAAGACAGTAAATACGTAATTCAAGCCAAAGAAATAGCGAAAAGTAATCAGTATAAAAAAGACATAAGCCAACGTCGAAGGTTATCCCTTTGGGTATCGATAACCGATAAAATAATAAGAAACAAAAATGATGGGAACGGAAACGACGGTTCCGTGAACCTTGGCTGGAAGTTGAAATTTTACGAATTACCCCAATCTGTCCTGCCTGCAGTCAGATCCACGAATGATCACGCCGTGAGAGAGGTTGAGGGAAGTAGAAGGGTCGCAGAAAGTCTCGCTTGTTCCACGCTTCTTGAGAAACTTTCGTCGATTTTGTCTAACACTTTCTCGTTGCTCGAGAAGCTTGTTTGGCAAGTCTCCGCGTAGTCTGCTGCTTAGTAGCTGCCAGTTTGAAATGTGACACTATTTCGACGACTTATTGGGACGATCTTTTGGCGACGAGTCAGTGAAGGAACGTGCGAAGGATGAAGGACTGGAACTGGGAGAATGGAGAGGAAATAAACGATAAAGACGTTGACGAAATTTAATAAGGCGAGGGAGGGTATCCTAAATAATATAAAAATGATTATCCGGGAGTATCTTGATAAATAGATTTGGAATTTGGATATTTTATATATTTTCGTGTGCGTTGTGTGCACAATATAATTAATAACAATATTAACCATAACGAATCTGGAGGTATTCCGACGAACAGAATTAAAATCGAATTTATTAAATTGGTGATAAATTAGTCGAGTTATTCGAAACTTCCTTCGCCAGCAGGTCTATCTTTTATTTAATACGAATCTTGATTATTTTGATTTATTCAATTCCTACAAATATTCAAATCGTATTGCGAATAAAATATCCTACAATATAAATATTTCTATTTTTATATAAGTGAAGTGAAGTAATTTAAACGAGGAAAAAATCCAACTTTGCAGTATCATCGATAGAAAATAGCAAAATCGTAATGGTACGGGATAATTGTCCGGACTAAGTGGATGTTAGTTGCTTACTTAAAGGCGAAGGATTAAAACTTTCACTCCGGCAAGTTCGGAGACGTCGAATTCGGTAACA